AGCACCACCCCGACAGGAATCCCTATAAGGTAATAGGATGCTATGTTCACATATGCCACAGTACTCTGCCATCCAGCTCCGAGAGCAACTCCTGTCGATATAAAATTCGTTATCGGAAAAGGAAATGTTAAGTGATTTCTTTCTTGTTTTTCTTTTGTGTCGTCAAATACTGATAAACGTTTAAATTAACTGAAATTTGACGACATGAAAGGAAATTGATATCCTTCGAATATGAGTGAGAGTATCAGAGAAATAGCAATAGTACCTGAGAGCACTGGTTGAACACCGTTCAAGAGTATGGAGAATGCCAGTAAAGGTGACAAGTTGGAAACCATTGTAGCTACCTCTTCATCGTTGGTGAAAATATAGGCAAGACGTTTCCTCAAGAATAGGAAAAGCAAGAAAAGCACAAACCCTATAGAAAATGATATCGACACAATAACCTTAACAGAGAACTTTGCCTTTTTTGCACTACCTCTTCCAAGCTCATTCGACACTCGTACACTAGAACATTTCAACCAAACATCAGTACAACATCTTATTTTCTGAAGAAAAATGATAATGAGAATAATAAGTACCTTGCTGCAGCCAGGAAACCAAGGGATATCATCATTTCCCACCCAACAATGTTGAGGCTGCAATGTTTACATTGAACAACATCAAAATGTAAAGAAGAAAAAAAAAAGAGTACGTTTTGAAACAGTTGGATGACACAGTATATGTAATCATAAAAACGAAAGGCGAAAGGACATGTGAAAATGATCACGGGACAGAGGAAGGCTCTGAAAAATTACCAAATAGATAGAGCATCGATAGAGACTTCTGCGTTTTCCATGTTTCCGGTTAAAAGAACCAAGATTGTGTTGTACCAAAGCTCAAGACTGTAAAGGAAAATCAGATTTCTACTTAGAAGCTCCAAATATGTACTACTACTATAAGGAGGCATAAGACATTCATCCCAAAACAACCATATCAATATCATTCTTCTGAATATCTACTACTAGGAGTCCTGAGGTACCAGTTTTTTTATGTTTTTATTTATGTATGGACTAAAAGCATTACTGAAAGAGAGTCTAACCTTTTTTTTTAATATTTTCAAATAGAAGTATATATTACACAAAAGTTAATTTTCTGGGCTATATAGACATGTACATTATGTTGATTGCCTCTATGTGACAGTTCCAAATTAATATTGCCTCCATCCAGATTTTCTCAAACAAGCGAAATCAGTAGTATCCTAACATATTACGCATGCATGTAAAGAAAGATAAACTAAGGAACGACAGAAAAACACCAAAAGTAAAACTAACAATAAGGTCTTACCAAAGCATAACACCAGATGACAGAGACAGCTTGAGGACCTCCCAGAGATTTGTAAAAGCTAAGGTTGAGAAGCCTGTCCATGTTTCCGGGCATCCTCCGCATAGAACAAACAACAGCTGACCAATGTTGGGTAGCCAATATGCTATAATAGTCGACACCATTACACCGGCAACCCCCCACTTAAATTTGACAGTAAAAAGCCATGAAAGGAGGATGTGGATTGCAATTGAAATTGCCGACACATAAGCAATGATCATATTTTTGCTCTGTGCTTGTAAGTACATTTGGCAGGTAAAGGATACAACAAAAGCAAAAAGCACAGGGATCACCCATAGAGAAATATATCCTGCCTCTTCCGAAATATTATCTTTTTGGCCTAATGCCTCTAAAATCGGGGTTGTAAAGATGCAAAGAGGAATGAGGAGCACTGTGCTAATAAACAGAACTACCCATGACCGCTGAAGATGTATTCCAAGCATGTGGTACTGTTTCGCACCGTATGATTGACCACATAGAGTTTCTAGCGCACTAGCCATGCCCAGCTGTAGAATAACAGATTCAGAAACATCCCTCAGATTACTGGTCTTCAAACCTTGATTATTGCCTTATATTAGCAACCTTTTTTTATATGTTCCTACTTCCTACATATATATATGCATATTGCCTAGCTTTAAAATTTTCAACTAAAAGCTTGGATCTGCAACTATATTCTTACCCATCTAATCAAGTTTATATCCAAACGTCTTTCAAATTCACGGTGGAGTTCAGATTGTTAAAATTACCCATCTAATCAAGTTTATGCTAGGTTGCTGTTGTCTTGGTGATGAATGCATGTGCAAATAAGAAGATTGTAGGGAGCCAAAATTAAACTAAACATACCAAGATCCCATTTGCGAACCTGATGAGTACGGTGAATACAAGCGAAAATGCAGCTAGTTGTGTAGAGCCAATGTGACCAATGAAGGCTTGACTGATGACATTTATTCCAAATGTGGAAACTCTGGTGAAGATAGCAGGGCCAGCCACCACCCACATCGTCTTGGTTTCCCTCCATACCCTGGTTTTGAGTGGCAAATTCTCATCCTCCTCCTTATCCTCAACACCATTTTCTTGTACACCCTTCTCTTTTGTCAAAAGAGTCTGGTTAATATTGTCTTCTTCCATGTAACCAAGTGTCTTTTAGTTACTTCTTTTTAACCTGCCAAGTGCCAAATATAGAAAAGATTGGAAATTATTCTCATGGGCAAAGAAAACGTGCATTCTACTGTTGCGATAGAAATTATCAAATTGAAAAGCAAAATTTGTTCCATTTCTATATATTTAAGAGTACCACCATATTCACAGTGAGAGAGAGAAGTACTATTTTTTACAAGAATTCTCCCTCCAGAGTTAATTCCAAATCCAAGCTGTTGTATCCGCTAAAATCATTCATAAAACAAATTTTATATGTATATTTACTGAAAGACAAAGCTTATTAGGTGGCGCTTTGTGTTTTGCAGCTCTGTTTTTGTTTTCTCAGTTCTGACTGAGACCCTTTGGCCAAAAAATTATTTTTATATAACCTGCAAAGTCATATGTAATCAAGGGATGCACAGTGTGCCTCCCAACACATCACAATTTTAAAACATCCAAATGATTATTTAATTGACTTGTTACCACACTAACAGTATTATAACAAACCTAAAATTATATAATATACATATAATATGTATTCAAACTTTAAACAATCATATCAAAACTTTGCAGCATGAGATACAAAACTTGATGGAAACTTTTTAAGGAGCTAGGAACATAAAAGTTCCCTCTCACTCTCATTATATATACAGAACAGAGGTAGATAGAATGAAAGAGAGAAGAGACTCACAGGAGTTTATTACCCAAGGGGCCTCCTCCTCTCAGGCGATGGATGCGTTCAAAAGTCCTCAGATAGAGTTTTATAGTTTCAGTGGTCTCTTCCGGGACCAGACACCCATTTATGTTGGAAGTTATATTGCTCGCTAGGGCAGAGAGAGAGAGAGAGAGAGAGAGAGAGAGAGAGAGAGGAGGGAGGGGGGGAGATGCAAACAAATCAACAGAGTGGGGGGACGGGGAA